GAACTAAGGAAGATGGTCTGACTTTATACAGAAAATGTGTTTGGGGGCAGATTGAGATTGATGACTTTGTGACAATGACAGTAAAGTTAATAGCTGATATAGGCAGATAGACTCCATTTTAAATTTAAAATTGAAATGTGTACTGCTGACAGCATCTTACTGACCATACATACATTGCTAGACCTAATTTCTACCTGGCAATGACTATGAGAAACTAAGCAGATAATGATGTGCATTGTAAAACACTTGGGAAATGGAATTTACTGCTTTGCAGTTAGCTGTTTTTAAAACAAGAAAAAAAAATCATTTCATGATTAGTAAAAGTGGCTATCTTTGAACACTCCTGATGGCTGAAGATTAGTCACTCCTCTGGGAACATCTTTGTTGCCTCTATTTTCTCTCCTCTTAGGAGAGAGACCAGGTGTAAATTCTGCTTGAAACGGAGTGGGAAGGCTTATGCTGTTAAAATACGACCCCAACAAAAACGCTAGAGATGATGCATCACTATTCTCTTGGGCAGTTGCACTCTACATTCTGATCTGAACAGTGCAGATAGTTCCTGCCTTACAATACTGAACCCAAAGTTCTAATAAAAAATAGTCTTGAATCTAGAAATAGAAATCTGCATGCACTGAAAGCTGACAGTTTTTTACATGTTTATCTAAAAACCTGACAAACAAAAATACGTGAAACAAAAGTTGAAAGCAAAGCTTTTCTTCATTGCACCTATGCATATCTTCAGCCCTGTGAAGGCTCTCTCTTCACTCCTGTCATTATTTCCTCCTGTTTACTTACCCTATTCCCTGGGACAAAGACATCCATTAGTTCTGCAAAGCTCCACCTATACAAATAGACAACTTTATGGCATACCAGTACAGAGCTGATCAACAGAGACTTTGCTTTACCATATGTTAGTGAATAGCCTTAAAAAAAAAAAAAAATCCAGAGCATAATACAGGGAGCCTCTTTAATTTTACACACATGGAACAAATCAACTTCAAGAATTAAATACTTGTGCTGCAAACCAGAATGTAGGCAGTGCAGCATTAGGTTATGCCACCACGTTGGGCTCTGTTGTGATTATAACCCTTTTTCTGTAGGCACTGTACTAACATGTAACAAAACTGTAGTACATCCCACAGTCTGCTCCGAAATGTATTTCAGAGCATCAGTAGGCGGAAGTTTCCACCTGTTTTCCTTACTCGTGTCTGTGATGCCAGTTTGCACAACTGAAGGATTTACTGTCTGCGCTTTCTTTTTGGTTCAGCTGGAAAGCTAACTAACTGAATTGTTTGAATCTAGTTCAAAGGCTCAAATCTAAAAACCAGACACTCTTAGTGTGAATTTATTCCATCTCCACTCTGGCTTGGTAAAGCTAATTTAAATTATAGTAGTTTCTGCAGCTTCAAGGAGCTATAAAATAAATAAATCTAATTGAATTTTGCTTAACTACCTTGAATCTGCTTATTGCTTTCAAAATGGTACAGCGGGGCTCTTAGTTTTTATAAAATCTAAGCTGATCATGATGAGAATCTGGGACTGTGGCAACAGTTATTAAACACAAGGAAAAAAGCCATTTTCTTCTCTGTGAGGAAAGTGCAATCCGTATATTCTATTTTCATCCCTTACTTCTGTTTTCTGTGACTGCTGGAGGGCATTTTAGATGTGGTTGCTCAAACAGACTATTCAAAACCTAAAAAAAAAAAAAAAGTTCTTGTTTCCTAGAGAGTAATTACAACCTCCCACATTGAACAAAAATATATGTAACATATGCAAATGCTATAAAAGTAGCATGTGGTTTACATAACAATTTATATGACAATGGCTACTTTATATTTGACGCAGGATCTGATCACACGTTTTACATACACTTAGCTCACCCCTCTATCTCTGAGTTGGAACAAACGAGCTCTCTCAGTGCAGCCTGTGACAAGCCTTCCCACAGCAAGGCAAGCAAGTACTACAGTCGCTTTTAATATTAATTGGGGGGGGGTGGATAAATAGCCTCATATTTCATACAAGTAAATGGTTTCTTAAGTTCTGTTGAGTCAACTGACAGTGATCAC